GGGAACCCGATGCGGGACTCGATCCCAGGACCCTGAGATCATGACCTGAGCCGAAGGCAGACGCTTAACCATCTGAGCCACCCAGGCGCCCGAGAGAGAGAATCTTAAGCAGCCTCCAACGTGGAGCCTGACATGGGGATGAGTCTCACAACCTTGAGATCATGACATAAACCAAAATCAAGAGTTGGACGCCTAACTGACTGAGCCACCCAGACACCCCAGCCTTCATATTCTTGAACAATATCCCAGTCTGAGCTGTTTAAAAGAATTTTCCCTTTATGGGGTGCCTGGCTGGCTCAGTTGGAAGAGCACTGATCTTGATCTTGATCTCAGGGCTATATGTTCAAGCCTCACATTGGGTGTAGAGATTAATAAATAAACCTAAAAAAATTAATTAAAAAATATTTCCCCCTTAAATAGTAACTTAAATAGGAACTCAGAAGTCTAGGATTACCAGGAAGGATTTTATTCTTAGAATATTTTCAAATTTGTATTAGTCCTTATATTGTTAATAGTGGTATCTATGGGATGTGAATATTTAGAGAAGACTGACTTTACCTAACATAATCTAGAATACAAGATGTGATAGAGTGGAAAGAATACTAGTGCAGGACTCAGGAGACCTAAATTCCAGTCTGCATCTTGCCACTTGATATTATTGAGCAACTCACATTCTATCTCTAGGCCTCTGTTTCCTGGACATTATCTATAGGATGAATGTTGAATGCATAGGATGACTAAAGGACTGTTTACCAAAGTGAAGTATGGAGATGATTTTGGGTCACATGTGAAACCTTTTTATTTTAATAATTATGTATTTATCATAATAAAAATAACATAAAAACCTAGGATTTCATAGATGATATCATCTACCAGATTTAAATAGGTGAGTTGATTTAAAGATAATTTAAAGGAAAATATTAACTAAATAACTACATTGGTAGTATATGGATATAGCAGAAGCTGAGAAGGTAGTATTTGAGTGATTGAAAAAATGTTTAATGTTTCTAGAAATCATAAGTTTCTAAATCTTATATATGATTACTTAATAATGATATCTATAGTTATTCAGGGATTAAGTATGAGAATGAACAAATATTAAGATTTTAGTTCTTAAGTCAATGTCTCCTGGTAGAGATTCTGCTGCACACTGGTATATCTTAACCTGCAACACCTGTGCCACCAAATTTGATCAATGAATTTGGTAAAACTGAGTATACCTGTTTTTGTAGTTGTCAAGCACAATGGCCAATTGTGGGGTATAGTATAGTGCTGTAAATAAGACATGAGAACAGGGGCGCCTGGGTGGCTCAGTTGTTAAGCGTCTGCCTTCGGCTCAGGTCATGATCCCAGGGTGCTGGGATCGAGCTCCACATCGGGCTCCCTGCTCGGTGGGAAGCCTGCTTCTCCCTCTCCCACTCCCCCTGCCTGTGTTCCCTCTCTCGCTGTGTGTCTCTCTGTCAAATAAATAAATAAAATCTTTAAAAAAAAAAAAAAAGACATGAGAACATAGTGTATTATCAAACTAGAACCAAAAAGAAATCATATTTGATGAACTGGGTGGGAGCTTTGATACACAATTATAGCAGCTTCATTTGGTTAGTAAATAATTGTGATCAAATGGCAACACAGTACTTGAACTGTGTAATAACCATGGACAATTTCTTAGACATGAATTATACTGCATTATTATCTTGTAATAATGATTGGGTGATTGGGTTATAAATATTGTCAATATTTTAGTGTCAATTTTAAGTATTGTTATGAAGCCATGTAAGTAAGGGTTAATATATAATAAAGGCCCCTTTAAAATTTTGTGCGATGCATTTCTTAGAGTGGAACTTTGTGGCCATTCAGGAGCCTTATAGGACTGGAAACCTTTGATAAGTTATTTAAGCATTCTTGAGCATTTCTTCATCCAGGGGTTAGCCAAAGTATTTTTGTCTATTATAAGTATACTACCCAAACCTGAGTATTTGAAAATAATTCTGCCAAGAGAAAAATTTGCTACTTACTGATGAAATTTCATCTTTTTCTCTGTGTTAAGTCTTGCATAGATCTTCTTTACCTACCTGCTCCCCAGCCTGCTCTTCTTCAAAACCTAACTCAGTTCTTACCTTTTTTTTTTAGCTTTCCCTAGGTTGAATTAATTATACTTGATGCTTCATTTATTATTCTTTATATATTTATATTACTTGCACATTGTTTTGTAGTTTTATCCCTCTAGACTGTGAGGCTCATAAGCTTATTCACTTGGTCCTCAGTATTTCAGTTAATTAATTAATTAATTTTTAATTACACTAATAAACATAAAAACAAATGCTTGTTTAACATTTTCAACTATATAGACAAATCATTCTGCCCTAGACTGTTCCCTTCCCAGAGGTAACTAGTATTTTATAGTTTAGTGTATATTCTTTCAGAACTTTACATTTTCATTTGTGTGTTTAGTGTGTGTAGGTAGGTAGATAGATCAACAGACCAAGAGAGAGATTTAAGGTTTGTTTTACTTTCAAATAAATGAGACCATACTTATGTGTGTTTTTCTAGCACATGTTTCTTCATTAAATATTTTGTCTTGGAGATCTTTCCCCAATAGTACATACAGAGCTGCCTCAGTTAATTGCATTGTTTCCTGGAGGAAATATATTGTTATTCGTGTACTGACACTTTTTCATCTTAGTATTCCAACTAGGTTAAATAATAGGTTTTATTGATATTAAGATTTTGTACATAACCAAACTTCTTTGCTTTAGATTCTACACCCAGATTTGGAAGTAGCAGATCATGCTTTTCCCCCTCCACGAACAGCTTTATCCCACTCAAAAATGCTGGTAAGAAGTTTAATATTTAAATTTGATGTTTTTAAATAGAGCTGTACTTTTATTTGTAGGGTTGTTGAAGAAGCTGAGTGTAGTGAGAGTCAGATGTACAGCCTAGTTTAATAAGTGTACCAGATTAGATGTTCTAATTGAACAGTCACTGACTGATCTTATGACCTGCTCTTGGAGGAGCCACAGGGCAGCACGCAGACTGGGAGGGGGTAGAGGTAAGACTGTTGCCCTGAGGAGGCAAGAGTAAGTGTGCGTTGTAGCCTGGAAAACTATGCCAAGTATCAAATCGAAAGGGCCAGGCAAGGATAAAAGGGGGAAGCTTACAAAAAATGGAAACGGATATTGTTGACAATGAGAGTCAAGTTTGACAGGTAGATGAAAATAGTTCCAGTTAGAAGCCATGTAAGTAAGAGTTAATATATAATAAAGGCCCCTTTAAAGTTTTCCCAGTGCAAGGAGGGCACGTATTGAATGGAGCACTGGGTGTTATACACAATCAATCATGGAACACTGCATCAAAAACTAATGATGTATGGTGACTAACATAACATAATAAAATAAAATTAAAAAAACAAGTTGAATGAAAATAATTATAAATTCAAAAGAAAAATAATTAAAATAAAAATCTAAATTTCACCTGAAAAAAAATTTTTTTGAATGCATTTCTTAGAGTTGATCTTTGTGGCCAGTCAGGAGCCTTACAGAACTGGATACCTTTGATAAGTTATTTAAGCATTCTTGAGCATTTCCTTGTCCAGGGTTGACCAAATAAACTTGTAAGTTTCCTTTCAGTTCCAAAACTATGATTTTTATTAAAACCTGAATTATCAAAACCAATTTTTAAGTCATACCTTATTAATATAGGAATAGATTTTTATAAGTTGGATAAACTTTGGAAGAATTTCATAAGCTTTTAAAATATAGTCTTTTGAGATTTTTTTCTTTTATATTTGTGACTGTACTTCTTTTGATGGAAGTAAAAATCAAATGACTTGGGAAAGATGTCCTTCTCTAACTTGGTGAAGGGGGAGACTCTGACTTTTTCTGAGAGGAAAATTGGATATACTATAGGCAAGTTTTGTTTGGTTCACTTGAAAAAAGAACTATTTAACAGCCTACCCCGTTCAATAATGGGACAGGCTAGATGCCCACCACTCAGGACTGCCACAAGTAAGACTTATGTGTAGAAAGTGCAGACAGATTGATTCAATAAACTCTCAGGTTCTTTTCAACTTTCTGTCTTTGTGATATTTTTTTTTTTTAAAGAAATTCAGTTACCTAACTTGTTTCTTTTTATATTTTCAGGATAAAGAAATACGTGCAATTTTTCTTAGATTATTTGCACAACTTTTCCAAGGATATAGATCCTGCCTACAACTTATAAGAATTCATGCAGAACCAGTAATACATTTTCACAAGGTAAGATGATACATTACCATGTTGTATGTGTCCAAAACATGGCCTCTAATTTAATAAAACAACTTGGTTGTCTTTTTTTTAGCTGTGTATTTTGACCTTAGTTTATCAAATGTGGTTATTTTTTAAGTCTCTGCTTTGTGATTAGGTAATAATTTTTAATGATACTGTGGAACTGACATGTTTTCTTTAGAGTTTGTTAATTTAATTTTAAATTGTTTTTTTTCTTTTTTTATGATTTATTTAGTTATTTTGGAGAAAACGAGAGTAATTAAAAGTACAAAAATTAAAATTTAATTCTAAATTGGTTTTTCTTTTTCTTTTTTTTTTAAATTTATTTAGTTATTTTCAAGAGAAAGAAAGTGCCCAGAGGGGAAGGAGAGAGGGAGAGGGAATCTCAAACAGTCCCCACTAAGTGCGGAGCCCAGCTACGTGGGGCTCCATCTCACCACCCTGAGAAAATGACCTGAGCTGAAATCAAGTCAGCTGCTTAACCAACTGGGCCACCCAGGCGTGCATAAATTGTTTTTTCTTTTAAAATTGAGTGTTAATTTTTAATTTCTTCTCCTGCTTTATGGACAGACTTATTGTTATTCTTTCTAACACTGTAATATTTCAGACATCAAAAGACCTTTTTGAGAGACTGTATTTTATAACAACACATTTATGCGTGAAGATATTTATTCAGGCTTTGATCTTTCTATTTTTGTTTTGACCATTCATCCATTACTAAGTGATAAATTATTCATTTCACTTTTTCTTTCTTTACAGACAGCTTTCTTGGGGCAGCGTGGTTTGGTTGAGAATGATTTCCTCACTAAAGTTCTCAATGGAATGGCATTTGCAGGTTTTGTTTCAGAAAGAGGTCCTCCCTATAGATCCTGTGATCTCTTTGATGAGGTATAGTTCTTATCAAATGAATGCATATTTACAGACAAAATTGGACTAGTGGTTAAAAGTAGAGAAGTAGTATTTTTTTAATGTAAATTTAATTAGCCAACATATAGTAGATCATTAATTTCAGATGTAGTGTTCAAGAATCCATCAGTTGCGTGTAACACCCAGTGCTCAAAATCCTAAATGTATTATAAATTGAATATCAAATAATCCAAATGTTACTTATTATTATGCTTATTAGATCTTGGTATTTATAATGTGGATTTGAAAAATTAGAAAAATACAGGATGTCACAGAAGTACATAAACATCTTGAACAACTGAATTTAAGTAGTTCATTAAAATCTTTTTGAAAAAGTGACAGTGATTATATAAATAAAACTTTTATTTTTGAAGGCAGTAATACAGTAATTCCTTTATCAGTTTCAGAGAAAGAGAAAGGTCTAGGTTTAATATATAGATATGTGATTTCAAACTACAGTTACATTTAGTCTATTAGTGTCATAGAGCCATAGTTGGGCTCAGTGGCATTCTTTTTTAAAAATTTTATTTTATTTAAATTCAATTAATTAACATATACTGTATTATTAGTTTCAGAGGTAGAGTTCAGTTATTCATCAGTTGCATGTAACACCCATGCTCATTACGTCATGTGCCCTCCTTAATGTCTATCACCCAGTTACCCCTTTCCACCACCCACCTCCTCTCCAGCAACCCTCAGTTTGTTTCCTATAGTTAAGAGTCTTTTATGGTTTGTCTCCCTTTCTGATTTTGTTTTATTTTATTTTTCCCTCTCGTCCCCTATGATCCTCGCTCAGTGGCATTCATACTAATCAATAATCAACATTTGTCTATATCCCGTAGGAGATCTTAAATATATGGAAGGCAGATTTCATTTCTATCTTCAAGGAACTGGCCATATAAAGGGAAAATTAGGACAAATGTGACTCCAAATAAGGATACTGTTTCATCTTAGTTGTGATTTATTTTAACACATCTTTCCATTTATCATTTAACTGCGTTTACAGCAGCTCATTCTGGTGGATAGAACAATGTGAATACTGTTCCCATTTCAGTTTCTGAAAGAGCACTGTATTGGAACCAATAAATCTAAAAGTTCTGTAGAGTGTATAAAAGGAAAACACTTAGCACCCAGGATAGTGGAGAATAGTAATAGTGATTATGTTTTGCTGCAGGTGGTTTTATTTTGTTTTTTGTTTGTTTGTTTTTATTTATTTATTTGACAGAGAGAGAGAGAGAGTGAGAGAGGGAACACAAGCAGGGGGAGTGGGAGAGGGAGAAGCAGGCTTCCCGCTGAGGAGGGAACCCGATGCTGGGCTCAATCCCAGGACTCTGGGATCATGACCTGAGCCAAAGGCAGATGCTTAACCAACTGAGCCACCCAAGTGCCCCTATGTAGTTTTGTTTTGTATAGAGAAAATAGGAATCAAGTTCTTAAAGATCTCGGTTCAGAGAAGGATCTTTTATTTTCCGCAAAGATTATTAAGTAATCACAGATAAGAATGAAAGAAGGGGCACATGCTGTAGTTCTGAGTATGGAGACCTGTACCAAAAACTTTAATTAATAACACAAAGCATATGAAAGTTTAGGAGAGATTGCCCTGTGGTGTAAGCAGTTCTTTCTGATGAATTACTAATCACTGATTCCCTAATACCAGCATTTAATATGATTGATCACTAACCATCTGATTTTTTTTAATAATTTTTTTATGTTAGTCACCATACAGTACATCATTAGTTTTTGATGTAGTGTTCCATGATTCATTGTTTGCGTATAACACCCAGTGCTCCATGCAATACGTGCCCTCCTTAATACCCATCACTGGGCTAATATGTATCAGTAATTGACACATAATGTTTAATGGAGTTACATTAGATGCTCCCCAAGGTCCTTTCTAGCTCTCACATTCTATTAGTTTCTGAAGCATTCTGAATAGTAACATTGGTTTATATACCCCTCATTTTTCCTATCTAAATTCTCTTAGTAACTCCTTCTGGCAGCTTCATCACAACTAGTAAGTCAGAGTGATTGCTTGCAGAAAACTTTCTTGCCATAGCCTCTGACTGTTTTTGTAAATCCTTCCCTTGCCTGGAGTGTCGACCCTCTACCTTTCAGTCTAACCATGGCTTCCTATTTTTCATGCTCTGCTCTTATCTCACCACTTCCTCCAAACTTTCCCAGAGTAAATGACTCTGAGAGCCACTTGGTCTGTATTAAGCTTCATGTTAGGTCTCTAGCTTTATGTGGCAACTTATCATTTATTATCTACATTTATGTACATAGGATATACATATAGCCTCTTGATTGGAAATGATGATAAAGCAAGGACTAAGTCCTATTGAGTCTCCCCTTAGCGTTCATCCAGTTCTGTGTTCTCCCTACAGTTACGATTTTTCCTGTCTAATTGATGTTGTTACTTGAAAGCTAGTTGTTCATATGCGTATTTCAGTCAAAGGCCTAAAAGGAATGAGATGCCAGACCTAAGTAATTTCTCTTGGGTCATTTAATTTGCTTGAATGCGCTTTTAAAGAAAAATAGCACTTGCTCCTGGAAAAGGGATCCTTGTTTTCATCTAACCTAGGGCAGCCTACCACACTGAAGATTTTAGAGGCTTTGAGAAGCAGCCTGCTTTGTGTGTTGCCTTGTCCCCATACTCCCATCACGTAGGCCTGTTAGAAGGAAAGATATATTTGCCTTTGTTTGACAGTCTTTCTGATTTCTGGCCTAGAATAGGTGGAGTCAGAGTTTTATATGTTTGTCTGCTCCAGTGAATCTGTTAGTTTCTAGAAGGAAAAACTCTATATTATACCCTTTTTTAAAAAAATCATCTTTTTACCCTTCTTTCCCATACTCACTTTTTTTCTTGTTAGTATTCTTCTCTCTGCTTCAAATGGATATACTGTTCTCCCAGTAAATTAGTTTTGTAGGGAAATGGATTAGAGTTAAATAATTTGATAACTGGAAGGAGGTCAAAGGTCATTTTGTTTTTCCATCTGATTGTAGAGATGAAGAGACTGAAGCTCAGGAGTTTTAGTGACTTGTTCCAAATCATAGTGTCAGCAGAGCTAAGACTAAAGTCTGAGTCACCTGACTTGAACATTTGGTTCATGTTTTGTAAGTTAGGGAAATGTTTGGAGACTTTCTGACCATCTGAAATTCTCTTGAGTGAGAGAATTCTCCGAATGAGGCCTGAAGAATGAGAGGGTCTCTCTCAGTTCCAGAAATGATTTTTTCCAAGAAGAAATAGGGCCCTAAATTATCAGGGATAGACCACCAGACTATCCAAGGACTCGACTGACTCTGTAACTCTAGAATAAAGATGAAACCCAGTAAAAATGTAAAATATTTTGTCTTAATAATAAGATATATTTTAGATGCTTTTTGGTTTGCAAATTGTAAGAAATTATCACACAGTTTTCTAATTTAGCATATTTTGGAGTTGATGTTTTGCCATTTGATTCTTTTTCCAAGTTGGTAGCTTTTGAAGTAGAGCGAATTAAAGTTGAAGAAAATAACCCATTGAAGATAATAAAGCATGTCAGAGAACTTGCCGAGCAACTATTCAAAAATGTAAGTAAATATGTTTTAGACAGTCATTAATTTTATTTTATTTTATTTTTTAAAAAGATTTATTTGAGAGAGAAAGAGAGTGGGTGTGTGTGCAAGTTGGGGGAGGGGCAGAGGGAGAGATTCTTTCTGGCAGATTCCCGCTAAGCATGGAGGAGCCCCACTGGGGCCCCCATCCCAGAACCCATGAGATCATGACCTGAGCCAAAATCAAGAGTCAAATGCTTAACCAACTGAGTTACTCAGGCACCTCAGACAGTCATTAATTTTAAAACTATGTAATTATTTTGTTTAAAAAACTAAGAAGTGTCATCTTTCTAGTTGTCTTTTTGCTCTGACTTAAAACCTTTGGGATTATAAATTACAAGATACTACAGTTGGTACTGTGCATCAAAACAGACCTCATTTTTCAAAGTGATTTTCCTGTCAATCAACTATGTTATGAAAACATCTTAGTCACAGTTTTCCCGTTTGTTTTGTGCCCTCATTGTGATTTTCATTTAGGACCCTGTGTTCTTGAGAGCAAACTGTTCATTTTTAAGACATAAAGATTAGACTCATTGGAGACCAGAACTAGAACTGACCAATGTGTCCGCTTTAGTGTGGTGCAGTGACTGTCAGCTGGATCAGGAAAATTGTTTGAGCTGTATTGTTTAGAGCAGACAGGGAGTAAAAAGCTGAAAGAAAGAGAGCAGGTTGCCAAGTGACCACAGAAACTCAAGGGTAGAAATATTCCTTTTATAGAAGGAATGCAATTAAGTTATAAAGATTGGGATGTGATAAAGTGTGAAATAATCATTTGGATGCCAAGACAGAAGAGAACCTAAGGTGACAGGGAGATTACATACATGCAGAAAAATGGATTTTGGCTAATGATTGCTAGTCATACTTCCTACCTGTAAAGCTTTTCAGAGTTGAAACTTGTACTAAGAAAAGGAAAGTAAATGGCAAGTATGGTTTCCCAGGGGAAAGTTGAAGGAAGGTGCATTTCAGGAAATATATTTAAGAAGGATTTGGGGTCAGTATTGCAGTATCATTTAACTTAATTATTCGAATAGGTGGAACTTTTTGGACATTGGGTCATAAGTCAGTGCTTTGTCACATCCATTTGAAATCTGAGACCCAATTGGATAAAAACAGGAATGCTAAGTTGTGTTTGTTTCATGTTATTCAGTTATTTATGGATTTTATTTCTGAAGTTATTTTAAAATTTATCCCTTTGACTAATACCCTGCACTCCACATACAACTGTGTCCAATATAATAAATCTATTTCTTGATTAGTGTGCTGACAGTTTTAAAAAAAAGAGTCCTGTCAGAAGGAAAATGTGTGTTCTGTGGTGGTCTTCGGCATTTATGATGGCTGTGTAGAACTACTGTAGAGCATGACCACATGAGAAGTTTCTGTTGATGTATTGTAATAATAATAACAAATATTGAGTGTGGCACAATGTACCAGGCATGGGATTAAGCACTTTACATGCATCATCTGTAATCTTCACAACCACAGTGTTAAGATAGGTGTCATTATCCCTATTTTACTGGGGATAATTGGCTCAGGATCATATGGCTATGAAGTGATTGAATCCAGATTTTAAATTCAGAAACTTTCATCTGTCCAGTTCCTAAGCCTATTTTCTTTCCCCACATTAGGCTGGCTCATCTCTAGCTGGAAAAATAGTGATATTTCCAATGACTGACTTTTATACTTTGTTCTTTATAAAGCACTTTAACATACTTTCTCATTTGATCTTGTAAATGACCATAGGACATAAATAGGGCAGATGTTGATATGTGAGGAAACTGAAGATAGAAGTTTTTTTTCTTGCCCACTAGGAGTGATTTACTGATGGATTTCAAAAAAAATAGCGAAACATCAAATGGGAATCAGTGTTTGAGATTTTGGGACTGATCCCTTGAATAACTGAATGTTTATTTCTTAGATCTTTACAGGACTATTCCAAAACTGTAAAATTTTATAGCCTGTAAGTGATCAGAGCTGGGGTTCTGACACAGGTTTGTCTCTGTTACATGACTGAGTACATAGTGTATGTAAGGGAGTGTGCCAAGCCACTTTGATGCAAAAACAAAGTAATTTCCTTTTTTGCCATCCTAGAACTTAAGTTTTATGAGAGCTTACACTACATACTACGCACTCTACTATATTACATAGTTTACACTAAGCTGACACAAAACTGAAAACTGCAGTAAAATAAATAATAATTATACATTCTTTTTCTTTCTCTTTAAATAGACACTTTATTATATCTACAGGTGATAAAATCCCAGAGCTACTGTTAGGCACATAAATACAGACCCTGCTAAATATTTAATGTTATCGAGCTTGTGCGACTCCAGCATGGTTTTGAGGCCAGTGACCTCAGTGTCTATCTTCCTGTTTGTTTGGGTGACAGCCTGATCTTGCTGGGCATGCAATGACACCATTTCTGTCCTCATTTCCAGCAGCTTCCTTTCATTCAATGAATACAATTCTTGCACTGTGCTCTTTTCTAGATTGAAGTCTAATTTGATACCTGTTTGGACTTTGATTACTTCATCCATAACTTGTTTTAACTGATGTAGTTTAGGGTTTATTTTCTCATTTTCTGCTCTGAGGGCTGAAAATTCACTCTTCTCCAAAATAATACCTTTTTTCACATTAGCAATCTGCGGCATTATTTGCTGAACAGCGATCTCCTGCTGCATCTTGGTGACCATATCCTGGTAGACAGTATCCATGTTGGTGTCCATGATCTTGACCAGTGCAGAGGCAGTGATTCCTGCTTGCTGGGTTGGGAACCCATTTTCTTCGAGTAAACACACTAAGGCATGGGTGTCAAAGTAGAGCTTCTTGTTCCCACAAGAGGTGAAATCTCTCCTTTTGTGCTCCAGATCTCTCCTGTACTCCAGCTGCAGGCTCCCAGCAGAAGGGCTTAGTTCTGTCCTGGAGGAAGCAAGGGCGGTCACTTGGCTGTGGCACAGGTGGAGGGCGCCGATGGCCCAGGCACCTCCAGACAGTCACCTCCCCACGGGCTTCAGCAGCCTGCCTGGATTTGGAGGGAAGGGATGGAGGGTCCTGGGCATTAGCACTCCCGGTGGGCAAGAGGCCGGCACAGGAAGGGCATGAGCAGCTAAAAATTATAGCTTCTTAAAGGTAAATATAAAACATATATAACATGCACCACACCTATCCTTTAAAAACAACACTTTTAAAGTGATCACCATGAGGGACTGTATTACTAGGTAGGAGACGTAAATCGCCCTTCAAATGTACTCTATATTTTTTAACCCTTATTGGGCTTTTTCCCCCCAGTCTAATTCTATTCCATTTAGTTTAATCAATTCCATTCTTTCAGTATGTATTTATTAAGCATATGCTAGTGCCAGGCATTTTCTAGGTACATGATTCCCCTAATATCCTTCAAAAGAGGATACATGTACACGATGAGTAAGAATTTCAGAATATCCCCATGGATTGTCATCAGACTTTCTGAGATTCCTTCTAGTTGTAAGATTCTAAATTCCACATGGTCCCAACATTTCTGAAGTGAATACATTACAAAGTTAAAAAGGAGAGCATGATGGTAAAGTTACTTTCTTGGGTTATGCAGGAAGTCTAGGGGAGGGAGGATGGTCTCAATGCAAAGAAAATAATCTAGATGGTTCTATTTTTAACTAGCCAGTTTTTTTTTTTTTTAATCACATTCTAAAATTCCCTTTTGGTAAGCAGGAACCAACCATATAATTTGACTGTTTCCTTATTATTGGGTTAGAATTGAGACCTGGTGATTCCACTTAGATGTTTGTAAATACTTTGTTGCAGTAAAGTCTGGTATGTGTACCTAGTCTTTCTGCTTCACTTATCTTTGAAGTACTCAAAAATGAACCTTAATTTCTCAGTTTCTTCTCACCACTCCTTTATATTGCTTTTTAATGAGTCAGAATGTGAGGAGACATGAGTAGGATGTTGTTAACCGGGTTTAGGTGCTCTTTTAACTTTCTGGAGCTTCCTAAATAACTAAGGAAAGAATTTGGTGACTTAAGTAGAGGAGGGGAATCGTAAGGGGACATGAAGGAGAAGGAAGGGAATAACTCCATTTGAGACAAATTGTGTAAGCGTTGATAAGGTTTATACCATGAAGATTATCAATCATTCATTATAAAGCTTTTCTTTCCATTCTCACTGGATAATGCTGGATCTGGATCTGCTCACTTTGGCTTTCAGAATCTTCATGTCTGTATGACAGACAGCACATTTATGTACTTAATGGCTCTATCTCTATGATTCTCCATACACACTTACAAAGGACCACTAACTACACACAAAATGGGAATGTTAAGATAGGCCCAGATAAGAGCTTTATAAAACCTCCATTCGAAGGCATCAAGAAATCAGTTGGACATGTGTTTTACTGTTTTACATAGTACCATTTTTCTAATTTGTTTTGCATCTGCAATAGTACATAAATATTTGCTAGACTGTGTAATTTGTCTGACAGCTTTCTTAAAAGAAAAATGAGAAGACTTGGACTTTCTTAGAGAATAATATGAGATTTCTATTTGTGCTTTAAGAGTATTTCATTGCCCAGGATTGCAGTGAATTGATTTTAAAATCCTAATGGGAGAACAAAGCCCACATACAGGAATAGCCTTTGTAAATCGCATAAGGTCTATAGCGTTTACATTTCTGCATAAAATTAATTTCACTACCAGGCAAATTTAATCTACACTGTTGATATTTGTACTCTTTGCCAACTGTGAATTAAAGGATTTTGTTGTTGTTATAGGAAGGAAGTAAAATACTGTGATCATCTTTAGCCTTAAAAAATCAAACCATAAACAACTTACTTAGATTATTGTGGTGAAATGAAGCCCCTAACCCAAGCATAAAAATCACACTTCTTCCCTTATCTTATCTGATTTATTTGTTCATTTTTAAGTCAGGTTTAGTATGATACAATTTACGTATAGTAAGATTTACCTTTTTTAAATGTTCTCTAGATT